AACCATACCAAAATTACTAAATTCCGATAACAATTCGGCCTCCAAATCTAGAATTTTTGTTTTTGAAAAGTTTACAAATTTTCTCCAATTTCTTCCATTTGATTCACTAATTCTTGATGAAAATAACCATGAAATCATTAAATATAATCACTTTTGGATATAGAACACTTACCCCAATCCATATGGTGAAAATCGCTTCAATCCGAGCTCCATAGCTCCAAAAATGAGAAAACTCTCGGACTGCCCGAATCATACACTGTCCAGAAATTTTCGCGGTTACTGTTCACGCATTTTACTGTTCATGGGGGTACTGTTCACGGTACTGTTCATGGGTACTGTATACGGGGTACTGTTCATGGGTACTGTACATGGATACTGTTCATGTTTATTGTACACGGATACTGTTCACGCAGGTGCAGTTACTGTTCACACGTGAGAAAAATGCAGAAACTGCCCAGAAAATTGCAGCAGCTTTTCGTTTCACTAAAAAGGCTCTAACTCCATCATATGAACTCGGAATTCAATGATTCTTGTTCCTATGAGTTACAAATAATAATACGAACATAGCCATTCCATTGGAATTCAATTTGGAGCTCATTTGTTCAGTTCAATACTCATTTCGCTCGTTAAATAATTAACTCATGTTTCGTGTCAAAAACCCAATCGCGACTTGATGAAATTAGACCAAACTTTCCAGATCACTCCTATAATTCATTATTTAAATTCTGGAAATCTCGAAATAAAATTTCGATCTCTAGAACTAAAAATGGACCTTTGGATCATTACATTCTTATGCTCAAATGGCAAAAATCTTCCAAAAACTCTTCCAAAACTAATCCAAGCCTCATGGGACCCCGACCAAACATGCTAACATAATTCATAGCATTATTCAAACCTCTTCCAATCATCAAAACACCTCAAACAACATCAAATTACCCAAAACTCATCGAATTCAAGCCTAATTTTCTAAAAACTTCCGAAATACACTTTCGATCAAAAACCTGACTAAATCACGTCCGAATGACCTGAAATTTTGCACACATATCCCAAATCACCTAACGAAGTTACAGCAACTCTCGGAATTCTATTCNCGAATGACCTGAAATTTTGCACACATATCCCAAATCACCTAATAAAGCTACATAAACTCTCGGAATTCCATTATGACTCTCGGATCAAAATCTCACCTATCAACCGAAATTCGCCAAAATACTAACTTCGCCAATTCAAGCCAAATCCTTCCACGGACTTCCAAAATGCATTCGGATCGCGCTCCTAAGTCATAAATCATCCCCCGAAGCTAACCGAATCATCGGGATTCAAATCCGAGCCCTCTAACACATAAGTCAATGTCCAGTTAACTTTTCCAAAACAAACCTTCCTTAAAGAGACTAAGTGTCTCATTTCCTACTAAAATCAATCCAAATCAATTCGTTCACACCCAACACTGATAATGAAGCATAAAGAAATAGGAAATGGGGAAAACGGGGCGGTAACTCACGAGACGACGGGTCGGCTCGTCACAAGGTAGTAATAAGGTCGCTCTTCCAGAGCCCTCAATTAACTTTATACTACCAGATATTGCATTAACATAAGCCTTTTTCTTAACAAAATAAGAGAAAAATTTCTTTTCTCTTAATATTGTGTGAGTTGTAGCACTATCCAAAAGGCATAAATCTTCATTACTCATCTTGGATCCAATTGAAGACTGAGGAATTTTATATTTTTCATAAAAAAAATAAAAGTAAATCATGAGAAATACGGAAAAAACTAACATCACCAACGACAACATAAGACAACTTAAGTACTACTTGAAAATAAAAAAACAACTTTAGAACGAGACAAAAAAAACCACTGAAAATAAAAATAACATAATTGCATTCCCCTGTAAAATGATCAAACTTTAGTTTTGATCTCCAAAGAAGTCTTCAACTTCCAAATGAATAAGATCATCGAGGCCTTGAAAATCATTATCATTCAAAGCAAGATTTGTCTCGGCATTGTCATCATTTTTGTTTGAAGGCCCTGCCTCAAAATCATTTTTAAAGGTCAAGTGAGACTCCACTGGGGCATTAGCAGAAGATGCTCCAACATTATTTGTCTTTCTTTTGATGGAGTTTTGATAAAGCCTGACAAAATGCTCAGGTGCACGACATTCAATTTTTTAATGACCTTATATGCCACAGCGGTGGTAGTTACCGCTTTTGCCTCTTGAAGGATTGTTCTGAGAACCCATATTGTTCTCTCATTTGCCATGACCACCATGATGACGACTATTATATCGTCTCTTATTATTGCCATGCCCACGTACATTCATATGACCATGATAATTATTCTGTCTTTTTCCAGACTTATCTCGTCTAGCTGCCATATTCGCTTCAGGAAGCGGAGCTGACCCTGTGGGACGGGCTTCATGAATTTTCAGCAAAAGGGTATTATGTTGCTCAGCCACCAGAAGGCATGAGATCAATTCAGAATACTTTTAGAAACCCCTTTCATGGTATTGCTGATGTAATACTATATTTGAGGCATGAAAAGTCGTAAGAGTCTTTTCCAGCAAATCCTCATCATTCACAACTTCCCCACATAATTTCAATTGGGAAGTTATTCGAAATACAGCAGAGTTATACTCACTTACGGTCTTAAAATCTTGCAACCGTAAGTGCATCCACTCATATCGAGCCCTTGGCAAAACCGTAGCCTTAAGGTGATCATACTTTTCCTTCAGGACAGTCCATAATTCAAGTGGATCTTTCACTGTTAAATATTCAACCTTCAAACCTTCATCCAAATGATGACGAAGGAAAATCATGGCCTTCGTTTTGTCCTGGCTTGATGCCTCATTACCCTGAGTAATGGTGTTACCAAGGCCTTTAGCGGCTAAGTGAATCTCAGCATCGAGAACCCATAATAGGTAATTCTTTCCAGAAATGTCAAGTGCCACAAACTCAAGCTTTGACAAATTCGACATAGTAAAAACTATCAAAGAAGATAAATAATTAGAAATCATTAGGATAATAGCATAAAGAATCTTAAAAATTGACATAATATCAAATTTGTGATCTATATATACACTAAAGTGATAATTCCATAGAAAAGAATACTATTTTTTTTCTTCAAATTATTAATTTATCTTTGATGTTAACTAGAACAAAATATCTTCTCTCAATTAATTCTACTAATATAAAAATTAGCAACTTTCACATGACAATCATACAAATAACTTAAAATAAAGAAACATAGGGTTCTTATTTTTGCATATATCTAGAGATGTGAAAAATTATAAAACGGCATATTAAAGACACTAATCATGAAATCAAAATATACAACGAAAAAAAAAATGAACAAATATACCTGAACAACGAAAAGAGCTTAACTTCGTGCTGATAACGTATTAAAAATGTAGCTCAAAGTAACAATATAAAACAAGAAGATAAGTAGAATAAGAGAAGAAGAGATAGCTTTCTTATTTCATCAAGTGTGTTCCATCTCACATTTCATGCCTCTATTTATACTATTACATATGAAGGTTACAAAATGATTGTCTTAAACATGGCATTAACAATTGAGATCATGGGGAGGGATTATGGAGGTGTGAGAGTTACAATCATAATGGTGATGAATAGCGGGAGGTAATTTACATCATGGGTGAAATTAGTGGGAGTAGTGGACATCCACATTTACTAAATATTTTATAACAACTATAATATTCTCCCCACTGTCTATATATCTACAAATTGATTGAATAACGACTATGGAAATTATAGCTTTCAATTCCAAGTATAGCATGTTCCTCCCTTTCAACTTACTTCTAATGACCATGTAAGGTGTTGTATTAAAATTTGAATAATGAATAATTAAGAATATTTGTTCTCAATATCTACATATATAAAATTAATTTTTATTTAAAAATTAATATTAAATATGTAATTCAAATATTAAATATGTGTGAGTGTGACAATATGTAGAGAATTTTCTTTCCAAAAAATATTCTCTTAACCTCTATAGTCCATTGATTATTCATAAGAAAAAATCGACGGCGCAAAGTCAGTAAGCCTTTCAGATTATATTGATAAGAAATTCATTTGTGATGTCTCCCTCAACCTACCACCAAAGGATGTGGTGCAGTGGATGAGACTGCTATTTCCTTAGCCAGAGGTCTCAAGTTCGAGCTCTGGGCATGAAAAAATCCTTGGTAGAGAGCGCTTCCCCCCGAATGGGGCCCTATGCGGCGTGAATCCGAATATAATCGGGCTCTAATCAGAGTACCGGACACCGGGTGGGAAACCAAAAAAAAGATGTCTCGTTCAACCTTATCCTTTTCCTTTGTAAAATCAACGCTTGAAACAGCAATCAACATAATACTATAGTTGTTTGCACAAATCAAACTACTCCAAATAATTAGTAATTAGCATCTAAGAACCAATATTCTTCGTAGGTGTGATAAATTCCCATAAAAAAGTGTAACTTGTCAAATGAGTCCAAACTTAAGTAGGTTAGGATATGAGGGCATCACCAATTGGCTTAATTCGTGTCATAACCCAAACTGATGGGTTGCGACGAGCACCCGGTACCTTACTCAATCGAGTACCAATGTAACATATCTTTCTTATTACATCATTATATACACATGACATACGGTCCTAATAGGCCAACATGATTCTTTATAAACTCGAAACATAGGCCGACAAGGCCGTACAATCTTTTATGTACACGATATATGTCTGCAAGCCTCTAAGAATACATAAATATCATAAAGGTCGAGACAGAGTCCCGCCATACCAAACAATATACATCTAACTCATACTAATCAAACAAGCAACTCCGAAGCAAATGGAGCGCACCAACATCTTCCGCTGAGCTGATAGCCTACATAGAGGGCTCTCGACCTGTCTATCGGGATCTGCGGACATGAAACGCAGCGTCCCCAGGCAAAAGGAACGTCAGTACGAATAATGTACTGAGTATGTAAGGTACATAAATAAATACATAAGAGACATGGAAGACATATAGAGTACATGACTCAACATGTAAGTCTGAATAACTTTGTAAATCATAAATTACTTTTAGCGTCATGCGTATGCGTATGAATGTCATGTCATGTCGTGCATAGGTACATATTTCATAACATCATCAGCCTCTGAGGGCATCCCATCATATCATATTAGCCACCGCGGGCAAAATCATCATCGTATACCAGCTGATCAGGTGGTGGTGCATATATAATGCCATAACCTTTCCCATATCCCATATACATATATACATACATATATACGCGTATATAACACCGTTTGAATCATATTTACATATGTATATGCGTATATAACGTCGTTTGAATCATATTTCAGCCACTGTGGGCAACATCATCATCATATACCAGCTGATCAGGTGGTGGTGCGTATATAATGTCGTAACCTTTTCCCATATCCCATATACATATATTTACATATATACGTGTATATAACGCTATCTGGTCATGGGTCAATGCACATGAATGCAATACATGAAAAGTACGTTAATAAAATCTTTCAGAAGGGTCATAAGACCACTTTGCCTTTGAGTAATATCATAAAGTAATCTCTTTTCAACTTTCGTATTTTTCTGAGACCCATGAACAGATGATAAAATATTATGACACATGAAAATTCAAGAACATAGATATTTTTAATACTTCTATGAATATAGACATTCATAGAATTTGTGCATTTGCACGTTTCGTTCGTATCATATGGATCATGCCAAAAGAAAAAAGGGATAGCCTTAACATACCCGGAGTAGGAAAAAATCCGTGTGATATTCAGGAGAAAGATTATACCGTGCTCTCCATAAGTGAAACACTATTGACCGATAAAAAGAAACATTAATTGACTCAATGATCTTCTACCCACGATAGCTGGGCACCGTGAATCATCTCATTTGATCAAAATCCAACTTATATCATGAGTGAAATGTGTGCTTCATATAAAGATGTAATCCATTTCCAAATATTCCTTGAAACTTTAGCTTGTCACCTTGGATAAACTTTTAGCATGGAACGGAGCCTCAAAAGTTCAATCTCAGTGTTTTCATATACTCCCGATTCCTCTTGTGGTAGCAAATTTTGTAATCTTGATTTAAATGACCTAACATTCTGGTTCCATGTATATTCTGAAAGGGTTGAGTCCACATATAAGAGAAACACCATTTAATCAAATGAAACCCATGCCATATGGAACAAACTACAAAGTCTTTCTTCTTACAGCCTTAAATACATAAATGGGACCACTTTCTTTCTATAGGTTAATCCTACGCAAGTTCTTAAAGCCACAGATACTCAACAGGTTATGAAGCTAATGTGCACTCCAGTTGTCTAACGTACAGTCCCTCCTAAATATGCCACCTTTCAATTAAAGGTAAGAGTCACCCCAAATGAAAGAAAGAGGGCTGCCACGTGAAAGATTTGTTTTTAATCTTATCCAATAATTAGTTAATTAGGTAATATCTCGCTACCCGGTAATTAATCAATTACTCGTATAATTTAAAAATTGTCTCAACTTAATTAAATACTACTCTCTTTTAACATACCTTATACACCTTACTAGCATGACCATGTAGTACCTTGTATGACACTAGTCCATAAATACCGGGTATTTTAGCTCGGGCCGTATTTTATCCCGAAATGCCAAACTTTGACAAAATTCGTTTTCTTAGACTTGCTCCCCCTTTCACCTTCATAAATTTACTAATCACTTGTGAAATAGCATAATCCTTATAATCCCCAAATAATCTTTTCCTTGGACTGATGTCAATTACCTTACGACAAATTAAACATAAAATATTACAGGGTGCAACATCGTCGTAACTTATTACTGTGAAACGTAATATCATTGTAATGTAATACTGTTAAGTACAATACTGTTGTAACTTAATACCGCAGGACGTAATATTGACTTAATTTTGCAGGGCGTAACAATTCGAGTGCTTAGTCAGCAATTTTTCTTTTTTGGTTGTATTTTGCTCTCTGACTGCTATATATAATAAAGTGCCTACTGCCATTATTGAGATGCAGTAGTCAGCCGAATGAATTTCTTATTTGAGACTTTCAACCTATAGCAGCCATTATTGAAACGCAGTTCTCTTGACCACGTGCTTAAGGGGCGGAGCTAGCCTTCAAAATAAGGGTTAGAATCCAATAATTTTAGCTCAAACTTTGTATTATTTTAATACGTTTTGGAGCAACATAAAATTGTGTCCATGTAACCTATAAGTCACATGTTCGAACCGTAAAATTGGTCATTAATGCTTGTATTATGTGCCTACATTATACTCAATTGAGGTGCGGCCCTTCCTCGATGCTTGGTGGTGTGCTGGGCTGTCCTTTTTTTTTTTACGTACAACATACTCCCTCGTGTCCGCAATTGGTAACCTTTAATCCTTTTTATTTTGGTCTAAAATAAGTGTACTTTTATATGATCAAGAAAAAATTAATTTTATTTTTTAAAATTTGCCCGTATTTATATATTTTAATGTGTCAAGTTAACAAAATATAAATTTTATTTAAGGTTAATTTAGTCAAAATACTTTTTCTAAAAGTTAGTCTTTCTTAACGGACGTGAGAAAAAGCCAAAATATCACTTATTATGGGTTAGGGGATTAGCAATATAAAATTCATTAACTTCACGGGGTAAAATCTTGTACTCATATTGTATTTCAAATCCTAGTCCACAAAAAGGGCCTTACTTTGTGAAAATGGACGGAATAGAACGCAAATATATTAAAGTGAATGGTGTAAATCTCCATGTAGCTGAAATTGGACATGAATCTTCTCCAGCTGTTGTGTTTTGCCATGGATTCCCAGAAATTTGGTACTCTTGGCGGCACCAGATGATCGCTTTAGCCCGAGCTGGTTTCAGAGCCATAGCATTTGATTACAGAGGATATGGCTTGTCTGATCAGCCACTCGAACCCGAAAAGGCCACCTTTTCTGATTTT